AGGGTAGCTGGCTGTGGAGTCCAAAATGTGCATGTGAGTCATTGTGTTGTTCAAAAAAAGTGTTCCACTTAAAGGTATAGGTCTGGCTAAACTTTTGGAGGTGGGGACCAGTGATGGGCCCTGCTGTAATGCAAGTGTGTTTGGTAGTTGTGTGTGGAGGGACCAGTGATGGGCCCTTGAATAGGTTTGGGACCAGTAATGGGCCCTTAGGTAGCTGTGGCTGTTCATCGATGTGGTGCCTTGTGGATGTTGCTGTTGCTGTTGTTGGCAGAATACACACCTTTGCAGCAGCATGTGGGTCAAGCCTAAACAGCCAACAGGTGCTGAAAAGAGAAGAAAGAGAGATGGCAGGCTCACCAACAGTGACCTGAACAGGAAGTTCATAAGGGCAACAGCTAAGCCAAAGAGCAAGCCCAGCAGAGCTCAGGAAGCTGAACAACCAGAAGGCCCTGCTCCTGGAAAGGCTGATGAAGCTGGAGAACCTGGAGAAGAAAGCCCTGTTCTTGAAGAGACTGGTGGTGTGGAGCCAGGCAGTACCACTGAGCCTTGCACTGGAAGTCAAGCTTTTGAAGAAAGCTTTGACAAAGAGCAGGCAGACAGCAGCCAGCTTGACCTAATTGCTGATGCGCTTTGCATGCGACTTGGTTGGGGAGTACATGACCCAGAGATTTGAGCGACTCTGTGTGGCAAAAAAATGCATTGTGTCAGCAAGCATTGTGTCAGCAGTCTGATTCTTTTTGTTATGTTTCTTGTTGGGACCTGCAAAGGGCCCATAAACAAAACACAATTAGTTAGTGACATAGTTTCTATTTTTCAATGTTGAACATTTTGCTGGGACCTGTGAAGGGCCCAAATCTTTTCAGTAAGCATTGTGTCAGCAGTCTGATTCTTTTTGTTATGTTTCTTGTTGGGACCTGCAAAGGGCCCATAAACAAAACACAATTAGTTATATGTGTGCACAAAAAATATTTTATAGTCTATAGAATAGGAATTGAACAAAACACACCTGGCAACATATGACAACATCTGATAGGTTATGAGAGCACAGGGCCTCACATGATAACATATGATAGGTTATGAGGGCACAAGGCCTCATATGATAACATATGAGTGGTTATGAGAGCCAACTGTTCTCATATGACAACATATGAGTGGTTATGAGGGTCAAGTGGTCTCATACATTTTTTTATATGTTTGCAGCCCATTGGAGAATCTTGGGTTGCGCATTGTGTTCACCAGTGCATTTTTGCAAAGCAATGGGCAAGAAGTCAGATCCTGAAGCAGCCCCTGCAGCACCAACAAGGGTGAGGGTGAGGGCCAAGATGTCAGAAGCTGAAGCTGATGAATCAGCCAAGTTGCTCCATACAGGAGGGCAAGATGACTCTGGTGAGCCACAGCCACAGGAGTCACAAGTGCCACCAAACAAGAGGATGAAGCAGAATAAGGAAGAAGAACTTGTGGAAATCACTGCAGAGGCCCTGGAAAAGATGAAAGGTGCAGAAGACAGTGAGGTTGAAGAGTTCTGGATGAAATGCAGCTCAAGACAACACCAAGTCCTGTGGAAAAAGTTTCAGTCCATGCGCAAGGCAGAAGGGACAGAGGTGGCTTACCAAGATGCCACTAAAGGTGTTGGAAGGAATGCCAAGACCAAAAGCCTCATCAAGATGTGGCTGAAGTATGGTTCAAGCAAGCACCCTGTCCTGGTCCAGCACATGACTGAGCTGAGAACCACAGACACTTTCAAAAGCACAGAGAAGTGGGTGCCTTTGGAGACCATCAAACAAAAGTATGGGGCAGAAGAGCTCAAAGCACGGGTCCATGGAGGCTCCATCCTGGTGAGGAAGTCAGAAAGTGATCCTCGCTTTCCTGAGTTCAGGGACTTGTCTGAGGAGAAGGAGACCAAGACCCAGAAGGTGAAAAGCAAGCAGTCTTGGTTGGATGGCAAGGGCTCTTGGGATGACTTCAAAGCTGTGGGTGACATGGAGGTGGCTGGGCACTTCCAGCTGGAGTTCAACAATGAAGATGATAAGGAGAATGAAGATGATGATGAGGAAGAAGATGAAGGTGATGCCAGGGCATTGGCTCTGAGCTTCATTGCCCCAGAGGAGACCAAGCAGGGGAAGAAGGCAGCTGCAGTGAAAGATGCACTGAAGTCTTTTGAGACAGCCAGTGCCATGCAAGACAAAGACTCTGTGCCAGCTAAGGCACTGGTTGCTTGCCAAAAGAAGCTGCAGAAGCACTTGGGCCAGCTTTCCAAAAAAGTTTCAGGCCATGTGAAGGCAGAGCTTCAAGAGCAGCTGGCATCATTGGCCCAGGTGAAAGCTGACACTCCATGTGGGGTTGCCAAAAGGGCCCTAAATGCAGCAGCTGCAGTTGGGAAGAGGGCTTTGAAGGCTAGCTCAGAAGAGGCTAGCTGAAGGGGTTTTGTTGAACACAGGCTGTTGTGCCAGGCATATGGTTGTATGATGAAACTTGTCCAAATGAGCTATTGGTGTGGTGTGGCAATGCCTGGCTGAAGTCACAATTTCCTGTGCTCCAGGTATATTATAGAAGTGCGATGGCCACTGTGCCTTGGGGTGTTGGTGTGAAAAAGAATTGCCTGCCTGTTGCAATTTTTGTGCAGGGACCTGTGAAGGGCCCTTAGTCTTTTTTTCAGGGACCTGTGAAGGGCCCTTAAGTTTGCTTAAGCTGCAGGTTTTTCATGCGCATTGGGACCTGTGAAGGGCCCTTTCAGGCATAAGGTCTAACAATTTAATGTTAACACTGCTGCCATGCAGCATGCCCAAGAGAAAGCATGAAGATTGCTTAAGAGGTGGCAGGCACCAGAGAAAAGCAGCAGTTGCTACTAGGGAGGATGAAGAGCATGAGCCTCTAGCCACCATTGGTGGTCTGAGTCCCTGCGCATTCAAATTTATAGAACACTGGTCTTGGGGAAATAGCAGTGCTTTTGAGATTCAGGAGCTTGCTCGCTCAGTTGAAAGGACTTTCAACAAAGTTCCAGCAGATGTGGCTGCCTTGGCAAGCTGTGGCTCACATGGCCACAATGCAGCAAATTCCCAGAGAGATATGCTAAGATTGCCCTTTTTGCAGAACCTCAAAGCACCAGATCCATATTATGTTGAGGCCAATGTGTTCCTCAAGTCTGGTGCACAGACTGTTGTTTCAAAAGAAGAAATTGCAATATTTTTGCCTCATGAGTGGGGCCATGCATTGTATGAGAACAAGCTCCTAGATCAAACTTTTGGTGAAGTGGCTGACTTCAAGAACTTTTGGACCAAAGTGTCCCCAGAAGATCCAAAGCTCTACGCCAATCCAATCTTGGAGGAATTGAAAAATGGTCACATTTACATCCCTGTGTGTTTACACGCAGACAAAGGGCCTCATGCTAAGCAGGATTCACTTCACTGCATCAGCTTCTATAGCCTCATTGCATATGAAAAGAAACTTGGCTTGAATGAATCCAGCTTTCTTCTGGCTGCAATTCCCACCAGTTGCTGTGTGACAGCAAATAAACTGAGGGACATGAACCTCCCAACTGCAGAGGCCACAATGGACACAGTTGGGAGGGTCCTGAGCTGGAGTTTTAATTCTTGGTTTGATGGCATCCACCCCAAGAGAGATCCATGGGGCCAGCCTCTTGATGAGAAGAGGCAAAGCCTGGCTGGAAAGCCTATTTGTGGGAATGGCTTGAGGTGCACAATTTGGGCTGCACCAGCAGACTGCGAGCATAATTCTGCAGAGTATGGCCTTCCAAACCACAACTCAAACTCTCCATGTATGCGCTGCAAATGCAACAGAACAGATAGGCCTTGGAATGATTTCAGCAACCAGGCAGCTTGGAAGGAGACTTTGTACACCAAAGAGGAACTGAGAGCTTCCCCCTTGACATCCCATTGGACTCAATCCATCAAGGGTGTCTCACATTGGACATACAGCTATGATTTCATGCATTGTTGCGACATTGGATTTGGTAGTGCAGTTGTTGCCAATGTTTTCTATGACATTTTTTATAAAGAGCTCAAGGGCAAGAAGGGTGACAAGATGTCACAGCTTTTAGAATTGATCAAAGATGGCTATGATGCAGTGGGCATTACAGAGGGCGAAATATCAAAGTTGACACAGTCACACTTTTGTGACACTGATGCTCCTCACAAGAACTACCCCAACTTGCTCCACAGTGCAATCAAAGCCAAGCAAACTGCCAACCTAGTGCCAGTGTGCAAGCACTTGTGCCAGAAGTACTTGGATGGGTCTGGCTATGCAAAATGGAGGTTGAAGTGTTTGAGCCACCTCTGCAAGCTCTATGAGATTCACAGTGACGCTGGTCTCTTTCTAACTGATGGACAGGTGGCTTTGTACCAGGAGTCAGCCACCAAGTTTCTGCAATACTACAACATGCTGAGCAGATACAGCTTTGAACTGCAAGACAGCAGGATTGGACAGTATCAGTGGCAGCAATTGCCAAAGCAGCATTATTTGTGCCACATCAGTGAAGATGCGAAATGGTTGAGCCCAGCAGCATGCTGGTGCTATCCTGGAGAGCATTTGGTGGGCAACCACACAAGGCTAGCTCAAGCATGCCTTAGTGGTATGCCACCCCATATGGTTCCCAGCACTGTGTGTAAAAAGTATCAGGTGGGAAAACACCTGCTATGCTTGCAGGGCTTTTGAAAGAGTGAGAAAAGGCAGCACAGCTGGGTGAGAGAGAGAAGAGAGAGCAGATATATAGAGTGAACATATATATATATATGGGACCTGAAAAGGGCCCAGAGACATGTTGTTAATGATTTCAACAGGACCTGCAATAGGGCCTGCAAACATACAAAAATATTGATTTTCGTTTTTTAAAAATATTGATCCTGATTTTTTAAAATATTGATTTTATATTTTTTTAAAAAACATAATTTTTAATTTGCAAATATTGATTGCTAATGCTCCAGATTGATTTTGCAAAAAATATTGATTTTTTTCAATATGGGAGTCTCTGGGACTGGGGGCTATCACCTCAGCGGTCTCGCTCCCCCCAACCTTCGCCACGGACTCGGTGCCCTCCGTCTTCGATGAAGCCTGTGGGAACTTCTCCTTCACCGACTTGATTCCCGGTTTCTCAGGCGACCCACCCTTCGTCTTCCCGGCCGGGCAGTCCTTCTTCGAGTGTCCCTGAGCCGAACACCCAAAGCACCTTCCCTTCTTTTCCAAGCCCGTCCAATCGTGCTTGAACTTGCACTCTTGTCCACGTCGACATCCTTCTTCCGTCCCCCAAAACCGGCAGACCTTCTCACCGATGTCATTCTTCCCCTTGTTGATGGCACCCTTGTCGGTCTTTTCCTCCCACGTAGTCGCCAACGCCTTGACCTTCACCGTCGATGGTACCTTCGCTGGCTCTTCACAAGGGACCGTCTCTCCAAATGCCAACGTCTCAGCCTCCGCCAACAACGCATCGGCAAAGCCCAGGACTGAAGCCAAGGTCGGCGTCACATCCACCCCAAGGGTCGCCCTGGTGGAACTCACCCTAAAAGCTGCCTGACTTGAAGCCTTCACCACAGGCGTTGACATACGATCCACGGTGCCGAGCAGCAAAGTAGCATCTGGAGTGGTGATGTCCAATTCCTGCGCCCTCCGGAGGCTGTGTCTCCATCCCCTCAGCGTTTCCAGCAGCTCTGAGACACTTCCCGGCGTCTTGGGATCCACCAACGACCTTAGGAGTCTGGACCTCTCAGCCAGCCCACCTGGTTGGTATCGACGGAAAAGCGCGAACATCACCTCTGTAGAGCTCGTAGTCCTGCTCGCCAGAATCTCTGACCTCACGCTCGAAGGCACCGCATTCAGCAGCATCAGTTGACCCCTCTGCTCCAGCCTCGACCATCCACCCGGGCGCTCCAGCAGTGCTCGAGGTCGCACATAGAGCTTCTGGACCGGTTCAGCCTTCAACCATTCTTGATACGCCTCCATTGCTGACCTCATGACCTCTTCCCACCACATCCAGCTGTTGGTCGAAAGGTCTTTCATGGTCGGAGTGACCAACTGGATCCAATCCCCCAGGATTAGGCTTCCCAAGTCACCCTCCTTGAGGTCAGCTAAGGGCGGCAGGTCCACCGTCCTGATGTTCTCTCCCATCCACGACGTGCCATCTCCTGAGCCCTGTCCCAACTGTCGCAGTACCGTATGTGCTGCCTGCTCCAGAGGCGAGCTCGCCTGGTGAGCTCTGCTCTGCGATGCCTCGGGTAGATGACAATCTCCTGGATCACCTGGTCGTCGACCTCCGGGTTGTTGCCCTCTGCCATGAACTTCCCAAGAACCTGGCACCTGAGGTACTCCCGAACGCTGATCTTGAGCAGGCCATAGTGCCCAGTCTTCTCCTCTCGGACCAGGTGTCATTGGCACCATACCGCTTGGGAACTCCGGCATCTTCCCGAGGTCGACCCATGCCTGACTCTCGAAAGTCCGATCCGGAGTCTTCGGCGGTGGCCCCTTCGGAGGTGAAGGTGGTGGTGTACTTGACGGTGGTTTAGGCTTCTGATCCTTCACCTCCTTCAAGTCCCTGGCTTCCACCTTCTTCTTCAACTCAATCAACTCTTTCTTCAAAGCGGCATTCTGCGAGAGGACAGCCTTGAGCACCTCCTGCACATCCACGAAGGTCCCCTGGCCGCCATCATCAGGCTCCACCTGGCTGGCCGCACCAGTCTCCTCCGTGGGTCCCAGTGATGCCGGCCTCATCGCCCTCAGCAGCGCTTCCCCTTGGATCCTCTCTGACCAAAAGGGGTTCACTTGGACCGTTTGCTGGGTCGAACCTTGACCTTTTCCATCCCTCTTTCGGCCTTCTTCCCTCCTCTGAGGGCCATACGAAGTCGGAGGTCCTAGAGGACATAGATCACGAGAGGCCGCCACCAGCGCTCCTTCGCTCGGGCCAATGTCCTCCAAGGCCAGCACTCCCGAGTCTTCTTTTGCGCTCTCCATCGAAGAGGCGCCTTCCGGCGACTCGGTGCCGCCCAAGGCCTTCTCGGCCTTCATCGCCTTCGCGCCGCCAGCTGCCCGCGACATGGGGACCAGCACTGCGTCGCTGACGTAGCGATCACAGGTGGACTTACGGCCGTCCGGAAACAGTTGGGCTCATAACCCGCGTGTGCTCGAAAGGCACCTTTTCTCGGACAAAAAAAAGGCTTCAGTCGTTCACTTCTCGATTTGTGCGTTGCACATCGAACAACTTGGTACACTTCTCGATTTCATGTACCGGCAAATTCAACCCACCAGCAACTTTCTGTTGAGTGGCCGGGTCTGTGGCCAAGTGTTGAGCTGGGCTCAAGCACACATGACCGACATATTGATTAGTCACAGTCACAGATATTCACAGCATTGCTTGACACTGCATCATGCGGTCAGGTTGTGGTAACACTACCACAGCACTGCACCAAGCTTCGAATTTCGTCTCGTAATGCTTTGATGGCAGGTGTAGACTTGACTGCGTAGAAGAGGAATAATAACTTAGGCCAAGCAAAGAAGATGAATGAGTTGTTTGTTTCCTATTGGTTGCAACTTCAAAAGTGTTGCCAAGGCTGTGCACCGTGTGTGGATTTAGAGGTGATTCGGGTGATTGTGCCCTCTCCAATTGCCCATCATTGCTTGAGATTTTTGCAATGAACTTTTTCCAACAGTTTGCCTGGTGTGCTTGGTGTGTTGATTTGGTGTCTTTTGTGCAACTGCCTCATTCCCACCTTTCTTGGCCCATTGATCCAAGCAGAAGCCCGCAGCAGCCGACCCCGACAAGGACGATTCCCACATCAAGGAGTTCCTCCTGTTTCGTATCCAGGAGCCTGGTTGCGTTTTCGCTACAACTTCATTTGGGTATGCGGTATGCGGCATGATGGGCCCAAGTCGGCTGACCTTGCGCTTCGTTTGTGCTTTATAATCGGTCATACTCGACCAAAGGCAAACTTTAGGAGCACGCCTGCTCTTCAATGAAGCCAAGTGGTTGTATATTAGCCAAACAAACAAGTGTCTCGTACTGGCCCTTCGGCCCTTTGGTATACAAGTGGTAGAGTACACCTCGACTTGTGTGGGGACAGATGCATGAAGGAGAGATGTGATTTAGGAATGACTGCTTGGTGCTCAGAGGCAACTCTACGTGATGTACTTGGCCCTTGGATTCCAGTCCCAAGAGCAAGCTATCATGCTTTTTGGCTGCAAGGCCATTCAAGCCCATGATTTTCATCATTGTTTTGCCTCGTATTTGCCTGCTATCATTTCTTCATTGACATGATAAAACGCCGTAGGGGAAATAGCCTGTGCAAGTTAAGCTGGCAAGCTGGGGTGTTTTTTCGACCGAAAGCACCAGCCGCTAGCCACTCAGTCAGCCAGTCATCCATGTTAAGGTTCCAAATGTTTCCAATGTGACAATCGTGGCAATTCGAAACAAAGCGTGTCAAGTCGGTGATATAAAGATACAACAAATGGTCGATGATGTGTCGCATGCACGCTGAGGTGTCACTTTATGCAGGACAGCGTAGTTTCAGCCCACCCAACCTAGCGGACTTGCATCATGCGTTGCTGCCAACAGGTGCCCAACTGAGGCCACTGTTGTGCTTGCCATCTTGCCATTTAACATACGGAGAACAGAGAGAGAGAGAGAGAGTCCGAGAGCGAGAGCGACAGAGAGAGTGGGCACCAGATAAATGCTGCAACTCACAACTCGTAACTTGCCAGGAAAATCTGCTTGGAATTCTTGGAGACGGCAACATTAGACAGGTTTTGGTGCCTTCAAAAGACACATGTTTTCTCTCCAAAAGACAAAGGAACATTTGTTCAAGCATGTTTGAACTTCCTTGGCTGACCCAAACTCGGGGTTGGCGTCCTTCCTTCGTTTCTTATGCTTCCTTATCCCCCAAAAGACCAATTGAAGCCAATCAAGCACTCCTACGCACCCATTAAAGTCATTAAGGCAAACACTTGCTACTTGCCAAGCCCAGGTGCTTTGGCCTTGCTTCGGGTTCCCTGCTTGCCTTCCGAAGAGCGCTTCCTCGGTGGCCTCCAGCTGCTCGGGCAGATGGAGTCAGCAGAGTCAGCTCATTGTGTTTTGAAGGTTTTTTTTGAACAATCTTTTGTTCAGAAGTTCAACTGTTTTCCTTTGTTTGTTCTTTTTGCTTTGGAAGTTGTGTTTTGTGTACTGGAACTTTACTGTAAGTGTTCTGAGCATCGGCTTTGCGCATGGAGTGCCAGACTCTTGTTCAACTTGCTTGAATAAAACAATCCAGCCTTTGATCGCGGCACTAGCCTTGACATACATACAGACGCACATATATTGTTTGAACGTCTCTTTTTTTCACTTTGTGAGCTCTTCAAGATTTGCCAACCTCGGCACCACAACAAGACATGAGGGCGATGTTGGCATTGGCCACAGCACCCCTCTACTTTTTGATGATGCGATACCGACACTCCGCCAAATTTAGTGTTTTCGTGATCATCGCAGCTGGCCGTCAAATCTAATTGATGCCTTTGTGGATCTTATTATACGGAATTAACAGATATGTGGTGGTGGGTGCGCGCATGCCCAGATGAACGTGGTCTCATGGTGGACATTCTGAAGGCATTCTGGTTGTGGTGTGGGCATGGTTTTGTCATGCTGCGGTAAAGGTACGTGTTTGTTGAGAGAATATCAAACATCAGATCAATGTATGATCATGTCAATATAGTATCCAACCGGAGGATCCAAGACTCGTTCATGCTGTAGAGACTGCAAACCTGTCCTGGACCAAGAAATGATGTTCTTCCCGCATATGGCATTGTATCTTGGCTTCAAAGAGAGAAAAGTTCTCAGAACCCCGTCGCGCTGTCTCCTATCAGCAAGCTGTTGAGGGAGAGAAGCTGGTTGGTCATATTCCGCAAAACAACTCTGTGTCATATTAATTGGTTCAGCCGGTCCAGAAGTCTGAATTTCTAGTGTTCTTGAACCCGCTTATATACATCTTAAATCTTGGAAGGATCGTTGGCTGCTCGTAAATGTAGTGGTATTCAAGGTCAAGTATAGGCTCCCATGTATTTTGTTTGCAAGTTCAAAAGAATGGAACCAAATTGTGAGAGCACAAAATGGCTATGGCCACCGCACTAATGCAATACAAGGGTTTCTTTCCCGAGGCTGGGTTCTTCCTTGGCATCCTTCCTGCCCAAGTCTTCAGGCCTTGCCATCGCCCAAGCCTTGGAACGTCACATGCAGCCCACACAGGCCATTGCTGGATTTGTCCTGTCAGGCCATTGCTCTCCTGGCCATCTCAGAGACATTCACACGCAGATCCATTTTTGGACCGCCAGGTGAGAAGTGAGAGTTGACCTGTCGTAAGAGGGGCCATAACAGCCACAACAGCCCAGACAGGTAGCTAGTCCTCATAGTCTGTTTCAGACAGGTTGGCGGATAGCGGACTCACAGCCTGATTCAGCAGAGACATCCTACCGGTGCATTTTAATATGCAGTGCTGCGAAGGCTGTAGTGGCTACTGTTGACGTTTGATTATTTTACAAAATGCATCGCAGCATCAAAGTGCAATGTTTGTTTGCGCAGACCAGCAACCAATGCCTGATGCAGGACAATCGTACCCTGTAGCCGAAGACCAGGTGTGGATTCGTAGGGGGGGGTCGATGACTGACTGTGACCTGATATTCACATTTGTTGGTCATTTGTAGCAGTAGCTGGGCATCCCAGGTGGAACGAGCTCTTCTGATGGAGTGGATCAGGTGCCTCCGTAATGATTCTGGAGGCTTTTGACCGTAATTATGTATTCTGTTGGGCTATATGAGGTTATATATATGGCCAGATTAGAAAACACTATTTACAATATTTCATGAACAGTTCGGTATTGTTCAAGCCAAAATGCTTAGGATTCAGGATGTCTACAGCTAGCTTCAATCTAGCTCTCCATGTGATCCTCAGCCGTTTTTTGTTCATGTGTTCTTTTCACTACGGGCAACAGACAAGTGACATTATCCAGCGGGTTCAACTTGGTAGGCTCACGCATTCAACCATTCGATATTCAGATGGTTTCCTACTCAGGAGAAGCAACTTGGGGAAGAGATAGTTTAACAGCTTAGCTCTGTCCTCCACAGAAACTTTGGGCTCCTGAAACGTTTCTGCAAGCACCTTGGACTTTGTGGTCTTTGCAAGAAGGCATTCGGTAACAGACGGTCCTGCACCGATTGCTTCAACTGCAGGACGAACACATCATCATCGGACATCATCGCTGCGGGTATGGGAATGTCTGCTTTGGCCGGGGTCTGTGAGCAGAGGTTGGAAATGTACGGAAGAATGGGAGAGGAGAAACAATAAAATGTTTTAGAGTTTCTCAGCTTCTGTTGCCGCTTGAATATAGGCAGGAAGCAGGATTTCGCAATTGTCCGGAGTTGTGTTTTCTTTCATGATTTCAATTATTAATTATATACTTGTAGTATCTCGTAGTTTGTTTCTTATGAAAGGCTTGGATAAACTGCCCAGCGTGAGGTGAGGCTTCATAGCCTGCGAGGTCTGGAGACTCAGGATCAGATGACTGGCAGTTTTGGCACTTCGGACCACGCAAACCACCAAACGAACCCATTCAGGTTTGCTTAGCTGATCAACAAAGTGCATTTCGGCAAGCAAGACATATGTGTGCATGCTGGCGACTGTGCATTTCAGCTCAAATACCCCAATACCTCCCAATAGCAATTTACGAACACAGAAGGCAACCGTTTCATGGGCCTGCAAAAACGGCCAATGTTTGCAAGACAGCGCATCATGCTGTTGTACAAGCAAGGACATTTTTCAAGGGCAATGTGTAGTGTTGCACGTCACGTGTGACCTTGTGATATCTTGTGATAAGATTTCTGGAACAACAAGAAAAAACACCAAGAGTGCAAGCACAAGCACCAGCAGACACGCATAGCCACCACTTCACCCAACTAGGTCCAACAGCTTCGACCTATGGAATATCGGCATGACCGGAAAGCGATGGCGTCACCCAAGGAGCGACCACAGGACGAGTTCATCACTTTCACTGTTCGCGGTCAAAGATCCTTGGGCACTACGAGGGGCGGAGCCCTTGGCCGCGGCGGAACGTGTGAATGTTTAGAGTAGATAAAGCTCCATTAGAACATGCTACATCATGCTACCAGTAGCTTCTTGTTGCTAGTAGCGATGGCGTCCAACCTAATAGCGATGGCCTCCACCTAGTACCCATGGCCCAACCAATGGGGTTTGGTCTATCTTCACTCATCCATTGGCCACCTTGAATGACGTTGCCTATTTCGCTTTTGTTGGATTGCCATTTTGTTGGTTTCGAGGTATATCTGAGCAAGTTGCACGGCGATCCCTCACAGAGGAGGTATCTCCTGTACTGCTGGCCATGGTGGAACCACCGCTGCTTGGAATCGAAGGGGTTCAGAATCAGTATGCAAGTGAAAAGATGCCTATTGAAGGTCTCCGCTAGTAGGTTGGGGGCCATCGCCATTAGGTGATCCTGCAACCAGAGGCCAGATGACGAGCTAAGACGCGGGGAACAAGATGCTATGGGCCGCTACATCCTGGAGGGTCCTGTCGCTCAACTCAATGGGATGCTAAAGGCTTGATACAAGAACGACCGATTTTTGCGGCTCCAAGGCCAGCAAGGAAGCATTTTCTTTGTTGGTCGAATGCGTGCGTCAGGGTGGCCTGGTTCCGTCACTTGGACTTATTTTCCACGCTCTTTGTTGGTGCTTTGTTCTCGTCTTTTGCAGTCATTTGCATTAAATTATATATGCAAGCCAAAATACCAAGATTTGCTGACCAATTATGTATATAATATATTTATATAGTGCTTTTGATTCCTTTTGAAAGGTCCTCTGAAATGTCCCGGCGAGTTCAAGAGCTGGATCTTGAAGCCCGGATTGAAGCCTGCCGCAGCTGGGCACAAGCAAAGCTCCAGTCAGACAATAGGGCCATGGGACTAGTGACTAGATGTGACTAGTGCAATACAGTGCATATCTAGTTAGGAAACCACTTTTTCGCTAGTCACTAGTCGCATACTCCAACATCACCAAATCACAGAATCTTTCCATAAGACTATGTAGAATCCTTTTTGGATGGGTTCACCACTCTGTGCTTGACTAAGTACGTGTTGCCCAACAACATACCGTCATTCAGCAGCCAATCAAGTGTAGCTACCCGATGCCTGAAAATACAGCCTGGACGGACAGAAGTCTCAGAATGATTCAGTTATATATATAAGTTAAGTTTCCCCAAACATCTAGGAACGAAATCACTAGTGTGTGAGCACGTCCAGTTACTAGTAGCTTACTTACTAGCGACCTCTCCCTACTAGCTACCTAGCTACTACTGTAGCGGCCTGGCATAACCTCCCAAAAAAAACAGAACAACGCTTAGGATTTGTGGACTACTACTTGCTGCCCGGGAGGTCGTAGCTTCGTATGCAAAGTTAGACGTGCTTGGCAGGTCAAAAACCAGTTGATCAGCTGCAGTCACCAGTCACGGTTACCAGTCTTTTCAATGGTGTAATTGGATGTCCTGTTCATGGAGGATGTTTTGAGAAATAATTGTGGCACACTGAAGCTCCCTTCTTTGCCACGTGTCCTCAGATTTGCCAGATATATAGACTAGCCAGCCCTCGAACCTTGAAAACACTAAGATATTGATATGGCATTGTGACATATTATGACAGGCTTGCAGTTTTTGTTCAATCCTTTTACCTCCCCAAACGTTTTTTCCTCAAACCTTTGTTCAAAGGTTGTGGCTGCCTCAGGAAGGTCCTGATCACACTGCTTTTGTTCAAAGGAACTTTTTTTGGCTGCCTCAGGAAGATGCAGCTTACAAAGGAGCTTTTTGGTTCGCTGGTGGGATCTGAGGGGTTCCCCAGAGAGGTGCTTGATGCTTGGCTTGAAAGATTGTGGCCATTGCAGGGTGAGCAGCTGAATGTCTTGTAAGTCAATGTAGACCCTCGACCATCCTATCATATATCTATTTATCCATCTATCATCATTTATTTGTTTATCTATTTGTCTATCTGTCTATGTACGATGTATTAGCATAGTCATAGTCTACTTTAACTCTTTAGGTACAAGTTGTTCAACGTTTTGCGCATGCAATATGTACTTGGACACAAGAGTCTTTAATTTGTATGAATGCAACAGTAGCTTTTAGCTCGATGAGACAATGAATGAAATAGTGTTTGCCTCAATAAGAACAGTGGTTTTGGGTAGATGGACATTTGTTGTACATGAAAGCAAAGACAAGCTCATCTCTCCTTGGGCCACTTGGAGCAAAATCTCTCCAAGCACTTAGGATATGGATCACTTGGGCCTTTGTCGCTCGGAGACTTGCTTAGCACTGGCCAGGGTGCGTGGATGAGATGAAGCATTGTGAGCCCTCAGGAGATGATCATGGAGAAGATTCATCTTGCAAACTTGCAGATAAAGAATCTGTGTTTGGAAAACTCCCACGTCAAAAAGATCGAGATCCAACGATGTAACCTGGTCGATTGCCGCTTGGAATGGTCTTCCAGTCAAAAGCATGTGGATCCTATATGATCCTATTGTATCTGTTTATCGAGTCAATTATGTATCCTTTAGTTGCAGCTATGTCTGATTGAAGCTATGTGAGTTTGTATACACTAATTGTACCGTATACAATAGAATAGAAAGCTTTCTCAGCTATTTTGGGTCAGTTCCTGGCCAGTTGTGTATGAGAGCTTGAGTTTCGGATGCCGTCGCACGCAAAGCTCTTTCCGATACGAAGACGCCGAAATGTTTTGTTGAGCCATGCAGAGCCAGGTGACCTGTCCCTGACGGTGACCGCCGGTGAGGTGAGGATCAGCAACTCCAGACTGGAGAATGTCCAACTGGGTGTTTTCAGCATGGTTACTTCAGCATCTCGACACGGGGTCTTTGTCGTTTGCTCTTGTCTCGGTTTCTCTCACAGATGTGGCATCCCAAATCCAAGAGAATAGGGCAGATCCATCACCAATGCCTGTTTTTGTTCATCAACAAGAGATGTTAAGAGTCAAAGGTTGGTTGAAAAACATGCCTAGCCATGCCTAGCCTATACCCAACTGGTATGTCCACAAAGTGCTGTGCCGGAGGAATGCCACTGGCCAAGTTTGGGCTTGGCTTGCTTTTGAACAAATACATCACTTAAATTTATCAATTAATGAACCAAGAATCAGCAATCAAACTTGCACAGCCTTGATGAAGCCACAGTGTCAGCATTTATATAGATATACTGCAGTTGAATCATACAGGATGTCGACTCACGGCATTACTCATCATCACCCCCTGGAATCCAACAATGCCAAATAATATGAAGGAGGGATCCCCCAAAGTATAATAGATGGTCGTTCAAGGAAGGGTTTTAATGGTTTCTTGGAAAATTGGTCGAAGAGACAGCCAGGCCAAATTAATTAGGTCAGATGTGTGTTTATTTTGAAAGGCGGTTGGCATTGCAAAAATGGGCTATATAATCTAATAGAGGGATACTTGATCATGAGTTGACATCATCTACATGTATAAGTTCGGCCTCTTGCATTCAGGAATATGTAAAGTACAGGTCGTATGATGTTTACGTGGTGCTGAAGTGGTGCAGATCGAGGATACACTTGTGAGAGACACTAACCTTCACATGCTTATCCAGCGTTCCCCCTCTTTGCTCAATCTATTTTCTGCGCCGCACTACAAACAAGCAGTGATTAGAGATTTTGGCGGTCACACATCATCAATATGCCCTGCAATCCACCCTGAACCACTTCACCCACATGTTGCATGTTTGCCTTTGAATAGGTGCAACAAACCGATGTCAGTGGTCCAACAAAACACGTGGACATGAGATGTTGTACAAGGTTACCCCAGTCTGGATGTCAAACTTCTCAGCTGATTTTTTGACAGTGTCGCCTGGCGAGACCTAGAGCTCTATGACTTTTCAGGTGGAGAACTCTTCACAGCTGATTCGCTGCAACTTGAGGCGCCCACCAACCAATCGGCTCGCGATTGTTTTATAAAGACTGAAAAGGCTGTCCGGCAAAACTGAACACACCCAACCTGTGATGCATGCTCACACCCCACTTCAACGAGGAGGTGAACAGGTTTGGGGAGATTTGATGTGTTTTTTTTTTGCATGGTATTTCTTGCTAACCCTCCCTGTGACATTGGAAGGCTACTTTGACATTGAGGTTTACTTGTTGTAGGTAGTAGGTAGCTGTTCTTCTGATGTGAATGGAAAGAACACACCACGGTCTTCAAGTTTGTGAGATGATTCAATACTAATACACACTTTCTTGTTGTCAACTAACTTGGAGACATTTGCCTACCTCACTCCTGTAGTTTTCAACGCTTCCAGTCATATTTGCAAAGTAGTTTCTAACCCTGGATGTTGGGTATGCGTTTGACTTTCCAGCAGCCTTATTACTTGATGCATTTTCCGATTCCTCCGTCCAGGGTGGTAGAGGAGCTCTTTGTTTCAGATTCCGAGCTGGATGCTTGCACCTTCAAGGGCAGTGATGAAGACCGGAAGGACAGGCCAGGCCGGCTCTGCAAAAATGCTCGGAGCTTCAAGAGTGCTCTATTGGAATCACGAGGAAGGATTGTAGGAACAGCTCAGTTGACTTACTGTTGGCTATCCTTAACTCAACTCCCTGAACTCTGAAGACACTAGACAGCAAACCCAAAGCTTATCATCAGGCACGTTGCCTAGGGCCTAGAGTATATTGGGTCTTGAGGTGAATCCCGAGGGGCAACTTCAGACTAGGTGACACAGCAAACAGTTGCTTGTGGATGTGAAGTTTGTTTCCCACAAGTCTTTTAAATAGGTGACTTCACCAGATCACCGTTGCATCAGCTTGTCAACTGCGCTTTGCATCTACTGTATGCTATATGGCGAACTAGCAGATGCTGAAGTCCACAAATTGATTGGATTGGTAACTGCAGCCGGAGCATTCCATGCCTTTATCCGCACAAGGGAATCCTTTCCGATCCTTTCTGGCCATCCGATGCCAGGCAATTTATTTGTGCCGTTTTTCAGCAGTCAGAGCTGCATGGGGATGTCACGCTGCCCTTTGACAAAGTGGTTTGTGAAGAGACCTACTTCCACGGGAAACTGCTCAGGATGACAAAAGGTCGGTGTTGTCCAAAGCTTCGCTGGTTGGGCTAGAATCTCAAAGCCGGCACATTTGCTAGATACTACAAACAAAGCATTCTCATGCTGAATAGATTTCTTCATCTGTGTGAAGGTTCCCGTTTGCTTCAAATCTGTGGATATGCTCAGGTGGGTCCAGCATTAGCCTGAAGCGAGCTCGATTGCGGATGCTGCCCCGCATTGATTGCGAGGGCAAAATCAACCTGTCCTTGGAGGATTGCGATCTGCTTGATCCTTGCTGCTTCACAGTGAACCTTACAGCCTACAAGGGATGTTGATGTTGTTGGTGGATCAATGATTATTGGTTGTATTCCCCTCCGACGTTGAAATTGACACCTCCCCATGCTGGTACTTGGCTGAATGACTTCGAATGATAGCTCCAGCTTTTCCTCCGCTCCAGCGAACCAAGGAGTCTTTGACGTTTCAAGGCATGTTGCTGAACCTCCGTAGCATCTTGAACGCGGTGCAGTGTGTGGTCTCTGCCCTCTCCCAACATGCTCTCCCTTGCTTGTGCTTTGAGTTGTCTCAGGTATCCACTGCTTCAAGCCTTGCGAGTTCTTAGAGGTGGAGTTTCCTTCGAAGGTCTGTGAGATCAACTTTCCGAAAGCAAGTCGTTTCTATAACGTCCGGTTCAAAGATGCATGGCTGACATCTGTAGACGCCACGAAGAAAACCGCTCAAAGGTCGAGCAATGCTTCTTTTCGACGACTAGTAACTAGTCAATGAGGCACCTTCACAGAGACAAAAACACGTTGTGTACCCTGATCGGCCTGTCGTTCACACTATCCAGCAATTACTAGTTATATATATATACAAACTAGTTTACTATAAACTATAAACAGCATGGCCTGCTGCACAGCAATGCCACAATTAATGCCTGCATTCAATCGTTTGAGCAACTCAAACTGTGTTTGTTTTGCAAACCTTGCGTGTTGAGGGTACTGTTTGTAAGCAGAGTATTGCCTGAAGCATCCTGCCCAAAGCCTAAGGATGGCTTGGAGGCCTGTGTGGCCAACGGTTGTCGTTTCGAATACTGTGACTTGCTTGTGGGGCAAGCTTTTTAATTGTTAGGGCTTGGAGATCCCCCAGTCTTCCGCAATAAACAAGTTTTTTGGCATTTGCATAAGGGGCAGAGGCACCAGAAGCTGTTTGACGCACCAAGGCAATTTGGGCTACGGACAAGAAGCTATGGCCAACTGCCTAATGACCCAATGCAACTTCCAAGCGTGCCGATTCCCTTTTCTGGAGGACACACAGCCGTGTGAGTGCGTTTTTCGTCCCTGTGTGATCATCAGCAATTCATGACCAGTGCGTAGTAGTGCATGCAGTCTAGTGAGTCTAAGTGCATCATATTCAGAGGCCCCACAGTCATTAATTCTTAAGGTAGCAAGGCAAGAAGTAGAAGGCCTTGGGCCTTGCACGGTGTGCATGACCTCAAGAAGTCACTGAAAAGATTTCAGGCGGTGCATTTAAGGAATCGTTTGGACGTGTGTTGCAGAAGCTTAGAGACCCGAAGCACCAACCAATCTGAGGATGGATCACCCGTCTCCAACTTCGCAGGTAGCAGCTTGGACTTCAGCCAGGTCATCCCAAGAAATCTCATTTTGGACTTCTAGAGTGGAGGCCATTGTGTTGTTCGATCCAATTGCTGCCTATCAGACGGTTTGATAAGAAGACCTGTCGCAAGTCGCAATTGGTTCATTCGACCCATTGTACCATATTGTACCTACTGTGCTTGACGGCTTTAACATTGCTTATTATTTGTATAGGGACACAGCGATATGAATATATATGAATATCACATATTTTGTGGGCCATCAGCATGTCCGGGAGATGTTTATGTATGTTGCCTTGCAAGTGTGCAGTCCATTTAATCCTTGGCTGCTTGACACTTACAAGTAGAGCAGAGTTGCTCAATAACCATGCCTCGTTGGTGCATACTTATTCTTTGCATGTATATGTATATATACTGTATATATTTAATGAATTTGCAAGATTGTCTAATTCCCTAGTGTTTTGTTTTCAGTATCCAAAATAGTTTGGTACTATTTTGTTGTCTCCTTTGTGCTGCATGGTTCTCAAACTGTTTGTTTCTGAGAAGTGAAGGGACCATTCCAGGAAATTCAGTTGTGTATAAATGGGAGTCTGCAGAGTCCCTTGAATTAGACCGTTTTGAATAGTGCCAGCTGAAAGGATAATCCGATGGTTCCTCTTTGACAAAGCACTTCTATCAAATTATCAAGGACCTTCAATACACCGGCTCGTGGGGTTAACGTTGATTTGACGTCCCAGGCAATTTCGTGAATTGCCGGATTCAGTGGAGCGGCCCTTTCGCCCATGAAGATCCTTAGCTTCGATTAGCTTGTTCTGAACATTTCTTCTGTCAATTGAACTTGAAACATTATCAATCAACAGACAGGGGTCACTAGGATCATAGTATTTCAGAGAGCTTGAAGTGACTGCAGAATCAAGCACTTGTCAGTTTGGTCAACATGGTAACTCTTGTTTTTAAGCCATTTGACATTGAACTGCTTCTTGAGCCATATTGGAGCCAACTGCGATGAAGCCCTCAGTACTGCCCTTGCCCTGAGGAATCTTTCGTGATCAACTCGCATTGGCTGCGAAAATGGAATTTGGCTGGTTGTACAGTGAGTGACGGACAGCAAGTGTAGTAGCTTCAGCCGCGCCACGACAGGTTCTCAGCAAGCCAGTAGACAGGCATTCACTCTCACGGAAAGGATCATTTTCTTGGCTAGAGTTACTATATTATATACAGTACCGTTTTGAATCATTTTTTGTTGGCAATTGTTTTTTTGTTCTCACATGTTGGCAACAAGGCATCGTGTGAACAAAATGAGAATCTGTGGGCGCCATGTATGGTCAAGAACCCTGATTGGTGATTTCAAATCCGCAAAATGAGATTGGCAACGTATCTACAAATCAGACTGGCGACATCATGGTGCAATTGTTGGCGCAGCAACCTGTTCTCTTTGCAACGGACTGCAAACAACCAACCTGGGTGTCATGAGTCACTGGGGGCAGACCTGGCCCATGGACCCATCACTGTCAGACCCCAGCGATCGGAGAAGACGTTTTGCACCTTAGGAACGGACTGTGAGATGTGAATGAAAACACATCAAGAAGTGAAAGGCTCCCTTTAAGGGGACTTACGAGTCCTTTTCTTCATCTCCTTTCATGTTCATGAATCATTACTCAAATCGCTCAAATGCAAGCACAAACCAAGAAGTAACCATGGCATGTTAAAAGTACGCACTTCAGCGTCCGATTGGAGTGCGCCGCGTGCGCCCAGTTGGACCTCCGTTGGACGGTCCGAGGCATCCTTTGCCATCCACACTACGAATCAGCCCAATTGCGGGAGCGCTGCTTTTGGGTTGAGAAGCTCCATGGCCACAGGACCACGACGGAACATGCAGCTTTTTGCTGGGTTTCGCTTTTGGGTTTCGCCACTTCTGTGTTTTGCCCAAGAAGAAAGCAGCGGACCTTTCGACGACTCGGTACAATTGAATGTTGAGGATTTGCAAATTTGAGTCTCAAGCAGCCGGAGCATGGTTTTCCTGACATTTGGAAGGAGGGCTTAATTCAAAACCATTGCTACTAGTAGGACTGACATGGCACGGCTTGGGACACCACAATTTTGTTCCTCTTCAACGCTTCCAAAAAGTCTTCAATCCCCAAGTTTTTGACGTCCTGCCCTTGGCTAGGACCTTGCAGGAGCCACTTGGATGCGCAAATCATACGAGACATCATAGGTTGCTCTCTCCTTTTCACCTGGGATTGTTTCCTTGACAGCCTGCTCCGAGCGTAGAGTATATACATATATATATATACCAGAGAGAGTTGTGTGTACTTTCTCTTAAGTCTTATATTACATCAACACATCTCTTTTCTCCTCCTGAAACGGCATTCAGCCATGAGTCTTCGATTGAGTTACAGTTGGCATACTTGGTCGTTGTGGACTCAGTCCATAAACTCTTAGAAGGCAACCGGTACAATAGAAATGAAGCCACCGAATCTGCTGAATGAAGCCTACGCAACATGTGAAAGGACACTCCGAACAATTGGAGAGGTGGAATTTCAGATTCACGATCTACGAGTTTCTCGGTGTTGATTTGTTTCGCTTCAGACCTGTATTGAGTCTGAATTTTGACGCACATATTTACAGTATATACATATTGAAGACATATTGTAATTGCAAAAAGCTTCTATTACACCTTTTATGAATACTTATGTTAATACTAGGTGTTGATATGGTCTTTCAATGTAAAAATGTGTTCTACATACATAATATATATATAAAGACTGTTACATAATTGTATTCTATCACATTTTGTTGTGTCTTATATATATGTATACGTGTATATATATAGTATTATATAGTGTTGCTTGTGTGATGTCAGCGATGCTTGTTGACCTGAGGTATCACACAATACTTATGGATCATTTGCTGGCAGGTTGGGCAACACTGTGGTGACCATCAAGACATGATGATTTTAAGAACGTCCTTTCTCACCAATATATTGCTTCAGTGGGAAAAAGCATCCAGAGATTTCTTTTGATATTGCCAGGCAGCAGTGCGGACCAGCAAGTCTATGTGGCCGTTGCCGTGAAGGCAGATCAGTTATTTAATTGTTATTGAATTTAGCGTGTGTGTATCTACCTACCTATTGTTTCACCTATGCGAATGCTGTTTTTGCGGAAGAGCAGACAAGTGTAGGATTGGTTTGAGCACAGCATTTGGTAGCATTTTTCAAGATGCCAGCGATCTTATTTTGATTTTCGTTCCTGACCTATTGATGAGTTTGTTTTCACTGCTTGTGCATCCTTTTGCCTGAAAGATTGGCTTGTTGAGAGTATGCAAGTGAACAACACAATCTTTGCATAAAAGTCTTGAAAGAAGAGCTGTGGAGCTGCTCCTTTGGCCATTCAGGCTTGCTTTAGTGTGAATCAAGCTGGCCAGTCGATCTCTGAACTGGTGGAAATGAACGAGCCGTGGCCCCAATAGAGGATGAGTGAGAAGGAAACGCACAAAATGTCCACATTGTGTTCAGATAGTTTCATGAGACTCGTTTTTGTGGTTCAATTTATAAGTATTGTTGCCAGTATTTGCCAGTGGTGGTTTGGTTCTGAACATGTGATTCGTCCTTCAATTTGGTATAATTTGGTCGAACAGCCAATTTTGGTCGATTGAATGTGGTTGCTTCAACCATTTTGTCATCCTTCAGACATACAGTGACATACACATACCGCAACTTCATGTCATGTGTTGAAGCTGAATCGAAGCCACTCAGAGCGCTTCGATGACACGGTTGCGCGAACTTGGAAAGCTCAATTTCAGGAGTAAGTGGCAAGTTCTGGACTTATGCGTAATTAGGTGTTCATGACTTGTTTTGTCAAGCATCCGCAGTCGAAATCAGTCAGGGCCCAAAGTGCAAAACGCAGGGTACTCATTGGCTGTCGTGAGACCCGGGACTCTCCCTCTTTAGAATATTCACTCCCGTGAGCACTAAGTCATGCTAACATCCGCTTGACACGGGCTTTTCAGGCCGTGGCGCTGGAAAAAGCCAAAGACATGTGTACCTTGACAGGGTGTTGAGTTCTTTGATTCCAAGCTTTGGAGCGATTTGGACGGGTCATGTCGACATTTGCAGGCCTTGTTGAAGTTTAGCTTGATTCCACTAGGAACAAGGGCATCGAGTTTTTTCTCCTCAAAGGATCATTTTTCTTTTGAAGCTGCCATTAACTCATTCACCAGTTCAATTCATAAGACATGTCAATGTAGCAATGTAGGCCCCGCGGATTCCTACACAACTTTCTTTTCCGGACGACGAATGCAAGACTGGCACAAGAACACGTGCTCTCAAATTGAACTGCTACTACAATTACTCAACTGCTGTTCAGTGACATGTATATTTTGATAATTACATTATACAAGATTGGTTGGCTAGCTGCTGACCGGTATGCTACAAGGAATCCGTCCCAGCTCCAGAGACACTGGCCACGAGAACTCACCCTCACATAGCCCAGTCAAGTTACTCCCGGTCGGGGAATCGGGAAGATTCGCTGCTTGGCACACTTTCAGGATCTCCTGTACCGCCTGGCGAGCGAAAAGGAGGGAACAGCCAGATGGAACCAACAGATGCATGTAGGTGGGAACTGGCAGGAACTTGAGAGTCCAGTCTTTTCTTTTCTGCGGACAACATGCCTTGGTATAAGGTTATATATTCAAACCGACTCGAGTATCTATACAATATATATATATACTATGAATCTTGGAGGTGATGTGACTCAATTTTGACCGAGTTGTGACTACTCCGAGTGGTTCTCGTGAGTGTGAACGCCTATATAGACTTTCTTGACAGCGAGGGTGACAGCCCACTGGTATGAACGGAACAGCTCCCAGTCAAACATGGTGACGAAGCAGGCATCACCATGTCCACCTCCCGACAGTGTTCTGCCGGAGCTATATGAGCGACGGACAAAATTATTGGTTGACTTATTTAGTCACGGCATGACCCTAAACCTATGTTGAGGACTTCGTTTCTGTGGAAAACGATATGGTCCCCACCAAAAACGATAATCTTGTTAAGACGTACTGTAGTGGGTACAAAGACGTTTGTGGTTACAATATGTTATTGCATTTGCATTTGCATGTTTATTTGAGCTAAACCGATGGGCACAACTTTTCACCAATGATAACCCCAGACAACTTCCCAAACGATAATCCAAACGATAAGCAAACGATAACCTAAATGTCGCGCCAGTCACTCCGTAGACCTACTTCTCCACATTACTAGTGACTAGTGTTTGTTCATGGGCCGAGCTACTAGGTCCCCGCTTATGTGTTGTGATCCTTGCACAGCCCAGTGCCACAAGAACCCAAGTGCATAAATCAACTGCTGTGCCATTCCTGTCAGAAAGCACTGTAAGCCTCTAAGACTCTAATCTGAGGTTGTGAGTTATATTTTATGTTTTAGTCTATGTGCCGGTATGCTATGCTAACTGCGGTTTGGAGAAACATTGGAGAACGATATGGACCCCACCAAAAACGATAATCATGTCAAATGGTATTTGGCTACACAAGTAATTTTGTCCGCTGCTCATATAGCCGTTGAAGTTCCTAAAGTGAGTTGTTGCTCTTGTGAAACCCGCTGCATTTGGTTTGGAACCCCTTTCTAATTGCAGGTTTGGTGTTCTTGGTGTTCAGTCTGTGCACTGTATGTGAAGCAAATATTTTCGGAAGGTTATATACACAAGTAAAGAGGTGGACATGGGATCTCAAAAAGCATGTTCTAGATGAACAACAATAATATGCTCACCAAACACGGATGACAGATACAAGCCGAGAAAAAATGACACGTCATTCTATGTTTCTTCTCCTTCGGCTTGTTTGTCGCGGTCTATACTCCTTCGGGGACCTGCCTGGGCTGGGCGTAACGACGTGTCATCAGGAGCCAATTGGCTTTCAGCCGCTTTGGTTGGGGCGTTGGTTTGCCCTGCTCAAGGTCCTGCCACGGTTTGACCGAGGCACCGATGTAGCAATCGGTCGCATGAGACCTGTACAGAGCGAGAGGGTTGCACGCACCAATCTGGAGCAATCTTCTACGAAATACTAGGCGAGTGCTCATAAAATTCCCATTGCTCTTGTGCTAGCAAGAAATTTCAATACGCAGAACCGGTGGGCACTTAGTGGTTTATTGTCTAACTTTATTCATCATCACTTTATTATATAGTCAGTTTTGCTAGATACGTTCTTTCCTATCAACCTCCAGGTCGAGGCCTCCAAATCACCAACGAGAGAAGGTGTGTCTGCCATTGGTCTTGACGGAGGTTGCTTTGACAGATCTCTTTCAAAGGGCGAGTTGATTCGGTGATGTCCAGAAGCATCAACGCCCAAGAAAGATGTGCACTGACGAGCGGATTCTACATCAACAACCACTCCAGGTTTAGCCTCAGTAAGCTGAGAAATTCTCTCTATACGGAGCACGTGTTCAAACAACATGCTCGGCTTTGTGCAACTTGTCGTCATCCCATTCAGATGAACCCGCAGTACACTTTATTGACATAAGCTGCTTCGTGATTGCTTCCATTTGTTTGAGAATATTTCATCCACTCAATATATATATATAGAGAGATTCTTTCGGAAAGAACGTGTAGTATAGTAATCATTGTCAGTGTCCACTACCTACCCAGCACCCTTTTGGTTGGACACGCGTTAAGGATCCCAAGAGTAATTGTGGGAGGCCTGGAAATGTGCGAATGACCCTCGCTAGTGTACGAATACTCTTGGGTTTAGGCCTATTGTGACAACTTGGATGTGGAACCTTATATAACACCCTAATCTCCAAGCCTGCCTACTTGCCCTTTAAGTTGCAATACTGCAATACCGTACCTTTCAATTGTTGTTGAATTAGTAATCTTTTCAAGGCTAGAGATAGCTAGGGTGCGCATGCTCTTGATTTTGTTTTTCAGTCGTTCATTCTTTCATCCTGTATATGGCAGGTGCGCTCTGGGCCGCTACCTCTATGAGGAGCTTGGTGACCCCGGTGCCGGAGAGTTGCTCCGCAAAGTGCCACCAAAGAGGCCATAGTTGTCGTTACCCGGCCTTGACCCGAGTTTGTGATTGTAGTTTGTAACATAGCAATATATCAAGCAAGAGTGACACACCAACATATGATGTAATATCGAAAACATATGAAGCCTAATATAGGCCCACAGTGGTCAGGGCCAGGGCAACAGAACGATCTAGATCCAGATGTTGCAACACGCGGATGACTCAACACCATAATATATACAATATATGCTTGTCCTTATTTTCCAACCCAATGATGCGACCGACACATTGAGACCTTCACAAGCAAAATGCCTTGCCGCCTTGCCCACTTTGCACGCCATCCATATCCCGCATGCAAACTGCAGTTGGCGCTCTTCGGCCTGTGCGTGCGCTGCAGAAGTCTTCAGATCAGACGAGGAGATGACCTGTCTTAGCCGGCTTCAGACTTCCTGTTGATGACACACTATGGATGATTCTGGACTCTACTAGAAAGCTTGGCTGTGCTTGCTATGGAGCTGTCCTATATACAAGGCAGAGTTTCATCATGGCCAACCTCTCGTGCTTTCGCAGCACCACAATTTAATACTAATTGTATTTTGCTCGAATCGATTTTGAACATGGCGGAGCGACGAATCAATTCGATCTCCGCTTTCTACAAGAGTATGATGGGCACATTGAACGCAAAAAAACAGCAAAGGAGCTCAAGATGAGCTGCCTGGTGTGCCTTTTCCACTAAAATGATCGTACTTCGCACTTGTAGTTGCAGTTTCCAGATGCTTAGCGATTTATGCTTTTTTTCCAAGTTTTTACTGCTTCTGATCCGATCTTCATGAAGGTTGATGTTTTAGTTTGCATGCTGATCGCGGGACAGCTCAAGGTGAAGATATTGCTGCTTCGTCCATGCGAGCAAGACTTGTAGAAACAAGCCGCCTGAAAGTATAGAGACAGTCTGCACATTTTGCTGTTGAAGTTGTACCTGACGGACTTTGCACAATTTTGCTCCTTTGACTGTCCACCCTTGTCCAGCTCATGTGAAGCTTTCATGTCAGAGTGTGCTTGAACATATTATATCGCTTTGCTTTCCAGGATATCCACCTAGCTCATTCTTTGGCACTTCAGGCTTGGTGCGGGACTGCAGTTGTGGTATGGCTTGCTAAGATCCTACAAAATGGTTTCTAATTGGTCCTGATGGAAGCCTTCGTAAACCTCTCTCAAGGAATCGGAACAGCACTGCTTAAACTCTAAACCTGAATATTGTTCATGCTGTGTCGTCGTATCAGATGCTCATTGCTGCCGCTGACTGAAGTCGTGGTAAAGGATACTCAAGATTTGGTAAAGGATTCACTGAGGTTCATTGTAGCTGGTGTGTTGGAACGGTGTAAGTGAGATTTGTGCATGGATTGTTATTGTAGCTTTGCAAGTTGTGTGTGTGGACACATGCAATTAAAGGTGTGAGTACAGGTGATTCTGCTGACATCTTGGTGACAATGACAGAGGAAGGGTGGTATGTAGTCACAAAAGCCTTCCTGTGCCAGGAGATTGAGGGTCCAGGATTTGGTTGCTGCGAGATGGGATCGACTCTGGGACACTTCTTCAGCTTCTTGTTACTAGCAGCACTGGCCTGCAACCTAATAGCAATGGCCTCCAACCTAATAGCGATGGCCTCCAACCTAATCGGATGGCCTCCAACCTAGTAGCAATGGCCTCCACCCTAGTAGCGATCGCCTCCAACCTCGTAGCGACGGCCTCCAACCGAATAGCGATGGCCTCCAACCTAATAGCAGGCCTCCAACCTAATACCGATGGCCTCCAACCTAGTAGCAACGGCCTTCAACCTAATAGCAATTCTCCACCTAGTATATAGCTTCCTCTTTTCTCCACAGTTTAATTATGTGTCTTCTCCTGATCCCTGATTTTTCCAGTTCCCTGTACTCAACTCAGACTCAACCTTTCTCGTTGAGAAGTGAACGCACAGTCTCGAGTCTCGATCGACATCTTGGCAACTCCAATTCTGCGAAGAAGCTAGTAGTAACAAGTGCCACGCTAGTAGTAACAGGTGCCTT